GTGATGCGTAGGAGGGGGGGGGGGGGGGGGGGCACGAGAATTGGAGGAGGGGGCTCCTAAAAATGGGGAGGGTCTCAAAATCTGGGGAGGGGTCTCCTGAAGATGGGAGTGGCATCAACAATTGGGGAGGGGGTCTCCTAAAAATGGGGGGGGGCACCCCAACTCCTCCCTCCCGCCCCCCCAGGAGAATTTGGGGAGGGGTCTCTCCCTTTGTTCCCCCCCGATTTCTCCCCCGGAGGAGGATTTGGGGAGGGGTCCTGAGTTTATTTTTTCCTTCCCCCTTCCCCAAAGACCCCCAGCGGAGCCCCCCCAGCCCCCCCCGCCCCCAGCGCCCCCCAGACCCCCCCCCGAGGAGGAATTTGGGGGGGGGTCCCGGCGGGGGGAGTTCACCCGCTTGGAGTACGAGCGGCGGCAGCAGCTGAAGCTGATGGAGGAGCTGGAGAAAGTCCTGAGACCCCCCCGCGGGACCCCCGCCCCAAAATCGGGGGGGGGCGGCGGTCGGGGGCACCCCCGGGACGGCCAAAATCGGGGAGGGGGCTCGGGGAGACCCCGGCCCCGCTGCTGCGACGACTCGGCCCTGGCGAGGAGCCCCCCCAAGGGGCTGCTGGGTAACGGGGGGGGCCCGGGAAATGGGTCTGGGGTCTTCGGGGGGGGGCTGGAGACCCCCAAAAATGGGTCTGGGGAACCCAAAAATGGGTCTGGGGTCTTGGGAGGGGCTGGAGACCCCCAAAAATGGGTCTGGGGAACCCAAAAATGGGTCTGGGGTCTTGGGGAGGGGCTGGAGACCCCCCAAAATGGGTCTGGGGGTTTTTTTAGGGGGGTCCAGGGGTCCCTGGTAAATTGGGGAGGGGTCCCAGAGTTCTCAGGGAATTTGGGGAGGGGTCTCAGGGCGTTTCCCCCCCCCCACAGGGTCGCACCTGTCCAAGGTCAATTCCCAGAGCTTTGTCCTTGGATTTGGGGGGGGGTCCCTGAGATTTGGGGGGGTCTCTGAGTTTGGGGAGGGGTCTCTGAGTTTTGGGGAGGGGTCTCAGTGGATTTGGGGGTCCCGGGGGGGGTCTCAGGGAATTTGGGGAGGGGTCTCAGAGCGTTTCCCCCCCCCCCAGGGGCGCGCCGGTCCAAGGTTTATTCCCAGAGCTCCCTGTCCCTGTCCAGCGCGGCCGAG